GAGCAGGTATATGACTCATCGCCGTGAGTTTCTGGCACGCTTCCAGCTGCCTTGTTTTCCACACAGCTCATATTAAAATTCACCCCACAGGCAACTACCAGGCAAGTGCACTCTGCTCCTGAGGGTGGAAAGCAGGCCCCTGAGTCCAGAGCCTCACAGAGCCTGCCAGGCTTGGGTCTGAGGTTCTGGGGGGAAAAAGGCCAAGTTCTGGGCAGCACCACACACCCAGGCCAATGGGAGTGGCCAGATCCCTGCGCCTGGAGAGGTGGGGACTAGGTCCATGAGCCCCCTCGATCCTTCGCCTTTTGCCTGCGACTCCCAATCAACCCCTTCACTCTCTGATTTAGTGTCAGCATCTGATGTTCCTATCAAACATGTGACTGTGTGGGGCTGGGCTGTCTGTCTCTGCTTCTCCCTCCCAGGAGCCCTGCGTTACACAGAAGCTTGTGGCCTAAGCTTGACCCAGACCATAGACCCTCTGGGCTGCTGGTGGGATAGAAACGGGCCAGGGTCCTGCCCACTTCCTGTTGGCACTTGGTAGAGGCCCCAAGTCTCCCCGAGATGCAGAAACTCTCCGGGGTAATTACCGGGGCCCCTCTGGTTCAGATATCATGAGGCCCCAATACTGAGTGGCAGTTCTGAGCACACCTGTGAGACCTTGCTTTTCAGCCAGGTGCCCGGACACCCCAGCTGGCTCTCCTGAGTCCCTCGTGCAGATCCCGGCATGCAGCTGCCTCAGGTGAGAAAGTCGGTCATGACTCTCCATGCGACCTTTCCTGAGTGGTCACATCCCAGGGAGGAGCCCTGTCCAACCTCCATGTCTGGGAAAGCGATCAGAGGCTTGTCACACACTCAGGAGGTGGGGTGCAAATTTCAGTGCCTGCTCACATCTTCATCTTCGCCTCTAGGAGACCTGTCCTAAGGGTAGAAAGAGGGTATGGTTGGAGAGCAATGAGAGCGGTCAGTCAAAAGAGATTGCCCTGAATGTAGAGTTACCACCGACCTGGTTTCTGCCAAGTGCACTGCAATGCTATTCGGCCTTGGAAGAGGAACACTGTGACCCGGGCAACAGCACAGATCCCCCAGGAAGAACCATGGAGAGCGAAATAAGCCCCTCACAGAAGAACACATGCCCCAGGATTCCACACAGAAGACATTCTTGTGATCAACAAATTCAGAGACAGGAAGTGCATGGTGGGGGCCATGGCCAGGGGAAGTGGGAGAGTGAGTGTTTAATAAGCATGATTTTTGTTTTTCAATCCTCACCCCAGGACATGTTTCCATTGATTCTAGAGAGAGAGGAAGACACATCCATCAGCCACCTTCCATATGCACCATGACCAGGAATGGAAACTGCCACCCAGGGATATGCCCAGCCTGGGAATCAGACCAGAACCTTAGGAGCACAGGACCAGGCTCCAAGCAGCTGAGCCACTGGCCAGGGCACAAGGACCATCCTAACATGTGAGGGCAGCAGGGGTGTATGAGCGGGAAGAGGAAGGCAGAACCAGGGAAGCCCATGGTGCTGTGTGCCAGTCAGCACCGTCTCCTCCGGTAAACACCTGGCACCCAGTCCAAGAGGCTCTGGCTTTCCTCCAAGGTGATCAACTCCCCTGGAGCCAAAACACCTGCAGGCTGGGTCGGCTTCCTTTGAGGTTGGCTCTTGCAGTCCTTTAGGGCAGTGAATGTCAACCTTTTTCATCTCCAGGAACACAGGAACCCTCTGCAGCTAGGATTGTTTTACTGGACAGTCAAAGGGAAAGGAGGTCAGTGCTCCTGGCTAAAGAGTCAGCATTGCATGTTGTAAGAATTCCTGCAGCCACACCAGTTGAAAATCATTGCTTGAAGCCAGCAGGCTGTTGATCTGTATCTACATGAGAATTAGCAGATATTCTTTGTTGATTTCAGAGAGGAAAGGAGAGGGGAAGAGAGATAGAGACATCAATGTTGAGAGAGAATCATTGATCATCTGCCTGCTGTATGCCCCCCACTGGGTATTGAGCCCACAACCCAGGCTTGTGCCCTGAGCTAGAATTGGACTCTGACCTGCTGGTTCATAGGTCAAAGCTCAACCACTGAGCCATGCAGAGCTACCAGTCATTATGTATGGAAACAAAGGTAAGGAATGCAGGGGTGGTTACAATGGCCAACAGAAAACCAACAGTCAGCAATCCCTACACCTGTGAAGAAGTGGAGTCCAGACAACTGGTTTTCCGTGGGTTGGGGTCAGTGTGGTCTCAGTTGTTTACAGCACACGATTGATTTTTTGAATGAAGCCAACAGCAGGGAAGACCTAAGAGGTGCTCTGGCTCAGTTGGCTTCTGCCTGTGGGTGTCTCCTGGGCTGAGGTCACTCAGGACTGTGCTCACCGCGCCCCCTGGTGGTCACCACACCTTGAGGACCCTGGGTTCCAGTAGGGATCTACCCCTCAATCCCTTTTGGTATTTCCTGCCAATGGATGTGTCACCCAGGGACCTGACCACAATCATGCCCTTGGGTTGTGAAAAGAACGACAGTGAGAGCAGTGGGAATGGGCACCACCGAATAACCCTCTCCTCTGCTGACTCCTTTCTAGACATGAACGTATTCAACCCTCCAACATGCTGGGGTTGTAATGCTTGATCTTTCCCATGTAGCAGGAGGGCAGTTAAATGCCAAGTGCAGGAAGACTCTTCCATTGGGAGGCACCAACCTGTAGTCTACTTTGTCCGACTTGGAGCACACACCTCCCGGTGCCTCTCTCCCATCTGGGGACTGGATGCATGCCCGAGAGTGAGACCCCACAGTCCCGGCCTGGGGATGTGCCATTCCACCTGTGCCCGTCTTTCCCCTCTGCCCTGGTACAGAGAGGCCAGACACAACCTACAGAGCTCTTAACGTAGAAAACATTCAAGCCAGTAAAGAACTCTTTGTGAATTTATTTGAGCCAAACTGCGGACAATGGCCGGGAAACAGAGATTTAATGGATTGGGACAATGCTCCAGAGATTGGTGGTTTTTCACTTTGTTTTACACATTACAGTCAAAGGAGGAGACGGAGGTGGGGTCTTGGTTCTCCACTGGTGATGGATTAGAGGGGGTGGGAAGGAAGCTCACTGGGGAAGGCCTTGGGATTGGATACAAAGTAAGGATAGACACATACTTTGGATGTAGGACAGGTAACAGTTAACAGTTCCCATGATAACAATAACAACGAAGAAATTTATGGTCTTTCTGCCACCCAGGCACATTGCTTGTGCTCTGATGGGTCTTGAAAAAGGGAAGTTACAAGTGACCCACATGCCACAGGTGCATTATCTTAGATGCCAAAGACAACAGGCTCAGTAAACATGGCAGTTGATCTTGTCAGGGAACATACTGTCCAATGATGTGACTCCCCACCATAAACTGCTTTTTAATGAAAGGTTTTTAATTTCAGACCATCCTGTGTGGTCACTTTAGGTCTCTGAGTTTGCAAGACTGCCAGGCAGGCCTCCCCTGAGCTGGTCAGGACAGCATGTGGCCCTTTTTCGTCCACAGACCCAAGATGGGCTCTGGGAACAGTGCGGACCTGGGCCTGGGCCTGGCCCGACCCCAGGGAAAGGAGCGTGTCATTTGAAGAAGCAGGTGGAGCCTGAGGCAGGTGCTGCCCACCGAGCCTCTCCACCCGGGGCTCACGCTCCAATGAACACTCAAGAAAAATAGCTCCTGCCTCCTGGCAGCACGGCCCTGCAGCCTGTGTGACCTGGAGCCCAGACTCCGAGGACGTGACCTTGATAGGCAGCCACCAAGGTCGAGTGCGAGTGAGAGACAGGAAAGTGTGTGGGAGTCGCCCCAGACTTTCAGGGGCATGTCAGCCTCCACACAACACAGGAGCAGAAGCGTCACATAGACAAACGATGGGCCGGTGGACGGATTTACAAGGTGTCGGCTGCCTGCCCCTTGCCCCCTCTGTTCCTGGAGTAAGGCGGTCGGTCACACGAAGTGCTTTCAAGCTCTGTTTCTCTGTGCACGTGTGAGCCTGTGCAACTGGAACATGGTATTAGGGGGAGACATGTGCCAGCGAGACCTGGCACTGCCCAGCAGGTGTTCAGTCACCTCGCTCGGCCACTCCCCACTAACCTCAGGATGTCCGACCCTCTCCACTGTCCTCAAGCCCTCCTGCTGCCTTCTCAGTCGTGGTCAGGGAAGGGCCTCTTCTCATAGCTGACTGGAACAGGACAGCAAATGTGCAGTCCAGCCCGACTGGTGTGGTTCCATGGTTGAGCATCGACCTATGAACCAGGGGTCACAGTTCAATTCCTGGTCAGGGCACATGACCGTTAGTGGGCTGGATCTCCAATATGGGGTGTGCAGGAGGCAGCCGATCAATTATTCTGTCTCATTATTGATGTTTCTATCTTTCCCTTTCCTCTCCTCCCTGAAATAAATAAAATTATATCTTAAAACAAGAAAAGAAAGGCTGGTGTTGGTCAATCCAGGAGATAGTTACTGCAGAAGCAAGGGAGGGAGAGCAGCCTTTCCTGGTGAAACTGCTTGCTCTGGTTCCATGAAACAGCCGCTCTGCTTTTCCTGGGAGGAGGGAACTCCCAGGTGGGCTTACTGGTCTCTGCTGCTTGAGGCCCCTTGTTACAGGCCCTCTGGGCCATCCCTACTCAGGGGCTAGGGCATGGCCCATTCTCCAGAATCCCATCAGAACTCCCAGCCTGTTGGGATACAGGTGGGGGTGTGGAAGGGTTGGGATACAGCAGCAGAATCACCAGCTCAGGGCTTAGGACCAGAGCTCACCTCCCCTCACACCAGCTGTATGGGAAGTGTGTCCATCAGACACGCAGACACAGGTGAACTACAGAAAGGGCTGCTTGTGAGCATTTCTCTGACTGAGTCACACCCCGAAGATCTGTCCCTGAGGTTGCACAACTCTTTCCCCTATAAATAGGGAGGCACATTGGCCTCTGGAAGCCTGTGGCTCCACCTGCAAGTCTCCTTCTCCTCCTGCCCTCGCCCAGCCTGGCAGCCAGCATGAGGCTCTTCCACATCCTGCTGTTGCCTCTCTGCCTGCTCTTCGCCCAGATGGACCCAGGTGAGCTGGGGACCAGGGAGCACTCGGCCCGGGGATGGGACCAGGTGAAGGGAGCTGTGAGGAGAACTGGAGACATTGTGCCCTGAGAGCACAGGCTTTGGGCAGCATCCATGATGCCCAGGGCTGATGGTCCGCTGTGGGCTGCCCCTGGGGTCTGCCAGCCGCTCCCTGCCTCCTATGGAGGAGCACAGCAGGCAATTGCCCAGGGTCTGAATCCGGCTGCAGACTGAGGGCTCACGCCAGGCTTCCTGTCTGACCCCTATGGCTCTGTGCCCTCTGCTGGTAGCTACCAGACCCTTTCAGCCCCATTGGCATCTAGAAAGGACCCTCTCTGGGGTCCCTGACTCCACCTGCAGAGGGGCAGACTGCCAGCCCCAGGGCTCCTGGGTCATCTATGAACCAGGAAGTCACAGTTCAATTTCTGGTCAGGGCACATGCCTAGGTTGTGGGCTGGATCTCCAGTGTGGGGTGTGCAGAGGCAGATAATCAATGATTCTGGTGTAAGCAGGTGCTGCTGGCCCCGCCCACAGGAAGCTCATGGCCTCTGACTCACCTGTGTGGGCAGTCAGGGCCCATGGGCGGCAGAGACCTGCACTGCAGAGCCCCTCATGCTCTGCCAGCTGGGAAACCTCCACAGGAAATGCCAGCTCCTCTGGTCAAAGCAGCCAGATCCTGAGTCAAACAAGGCGGGGCCTTCGGGAGGATTCTGCAAACATGTTTCAGCCTGGCCTGTCCCTAACTCACTCAGGGACTGGAGCTAGGCACATTCTCTGGGGTTGGTCTCCTCCTCTGCCAATGAGGGGGCGGGGGCTCTGAGGTACCACAGCTCTGAAATGCTCAGGAAGATCCAATCCCGCCTTTCCAGGCTGTCATTTCGTCAGGCACATGTGACTACTCTCCTCTGGTTCTGCCTCGGCATACCCATCTGAAAAGTGGGTAGAAGGTGTTCTAAGGCAGAGGTTTCAATGTTGCTGGCTGGACACCTCGGAGAGATGGCAAACCATTTAGAGGCTTGTGTATTCTCCAAAGAACATTCTCTCCTGTTCTGCCAGGGTGGGCCCTGTATGAGTATGCACTGTGTTATGACACCCTGATTCTGTGTATGTGATTGTGTGAGTGTGTGTGTGTGCGTGTGTGCGTGTTTGTGGAGTAGCCATCATGGTTCCTCAGCCTCTCCCTGTTGCCATGCGGGGCCAGGCAGTTCTGGTGCCAGGACTGCTCTGTGCTCTGTCAGCATCCAATTGCCTCTCTGCATCGATCCACAGGTGCCTGGAGCACCTCCACACACCCTCATGGTCCTGACAACCAACTGTTACCCCAGACATGGCCAAAGGCCCAGATCCCAGATGTCCAGAGTTCCCGGCTGAAGGAGGCAGGGGCACCAGGGCTCTGGATTCAGAGGGAAAACAATCTCGATCTGAATGAAACCGTAGTTCCAATGCGCAGGTCCACAGCCTCGAAGGCTCTGTTTGCCAGGGTGGTGTGGTCTGTGACGCTAGTGAGAGGGGCTGCCAGGCAAAACGCCGCCCAGGTCCCTTAACCACAGACATTGATTTCGTGGAGTTCTGAGGCCAGGAGCTCAGGCCAGCAGTGAGACTGCCCTCCTGGACTTGCAGGGGCCGCTCTTGCTGGGCCCATGCAGCGCCTGGCCTCTGCACCTGCTGGTCCCGAATATCTCTTTGTGTATCCCAATCTCCACTTCATATCAGAACACCAGTCACATTGAATTAGGATGACTCCTATGAGATTATTTCATTGAAATCACCTTTTCACACAGCCTCCAAGTACAGCCACCTGTGGGTCCTGGCTGGGCAGGGCCTCAGCGTGTGGATGGGAAGGGGTGACACAATTTCATCCAGGACTCCAATCAGTGCAAAGCCAGGGCCTGAGAGCCACTCCCAGGGACATGCTGGGCGGCCTGGTTCTCTCGCAGAGTTGGCAGCCAGTCCAAGGCCTTCTGTTTGGAGAGTCTCTGCTTCAGGGAGGAAGGCAGAATACATTCCAACCGGAGAGAGCAGTGAGAGCAACACAATGTGCAGGTGAAAGGAATACCTGAAACCCATACTATTTCATCAGCCAATGTCACCCCAATAAATTCCACATAAAAAAATTAAAAAGAAAATGAATAAATATTTTATCCTTTTGCTTTTATTTAGAAAGAAAAGAAAGCAAAGGACAAAAAGAAAGAAAACAATGGAAGCTCATTGGGTAGCCATCATTTCCACCTGGCACTGAAGGGCAGGCCCTGGCAGAAATGGGGCGGGGCGGATGGGGTGGGGGCGGGGAGGGGCGCTGACAGATCACATGAACGCCTAGCATACAGCCTGGAGCATTTCAGTTGTGCTCACTGTTTAGAGAGGCACTTAATCATGGACACAAAACATGTGCATGGACAGAAAACCCCAGTAGAGTGATCGAGGTGGTTTAAAAACAAGGTGGACGAATACGTCCTAAACTATGTATGATGCTCATGGTGAATAAAATAATACATCAACCAAAGGTTGCAGATTTGGAACATGGATATGCAAAATAGGAATTGAAATTTGTGAAGGTTTTTGATTTTTTTTTAAGACACACGTAGCCCTAGCCGCGTGCTCTAATTGGTTGGAGCTTCCTCCCATGCATTGAAAGGCTGGGGGTTCAATTCCTGGTCAGGGAACATACAGGTTTCCAGCTCCATCCCAACTTGAGCTGTGTCCAGGAGGCAACAGATTGATGTTTCTCTTTCACAGATATTTTGTCTCTCTCTCTGTCTCTCCCTTCCTCTGTAAAATCATTAAACATATCCTCAGTACAGATTTTCTTAAACAGACATGAGCATTTGTGGAACAGAGCACGTGTGTTCTGGAGACAGGATGAAGCTGAGGAACCTTATTTGGGGACAAATTGGGTGCTCAGGACAGCTGTCTGGGCAGAAAGAAACCCCACTCACAGCCTTGCTGCTCATCCTCAGCTTTGGTTTAGCCACGGTGGTCACCAACCTCAGACCAAGGGCATAGAGCTCAGACCGATGGCAAAGACCTCAGACGGAGAACATAGAACTCAAAAAGAGTGCACAGACCTGAAACGGAGGGACCAGACCTCAGAAGGAGGACACAGATCTCAGACAAAGGGCACAGGCCTCAGATGGAGGGCACAGACTTCAGGTGGAGGACATAGACTTCTGACAGAGGACATAGACCTCAGTCAGAGTGCACAGACCTCAGATGGAGGTTATAGACCTCAGACGGAGGACACAGACCTTAGGCAGCTTGCATAGATCTCAGACAAAGGGCATAGCCCTTTGCAAGAGCAGCTCCTGAGGTCAGTGTGGGAGAAGTTCCGTGTCTCTGTAGTGCTCTGGGAAGGGTTGTGTGTCCTATATCACCAAGTGTCCTTCAGTCATGTTGGCTGTGAGGGAGGAGCCTGATATGTTTTCTTTGCCTCCTCACAGGTGCTGGCCTGCTTGCGAGTCTGCTACACAGGAGTCCAGAATACATATGCGCCAAAAAGGGGGGGACCTGCAATTTCTCTCCATGCCCACTTTACACCCATGCCTTGGGCGACTGCTACAAAGGGAGGGCCAAGTGCTGCCTCTGAGCTGGAGCCACAGGGAAGACAAAACCACAGGAACTACATGTAAGCATTGTTTTCCTAAAAGAAAACCTTAAAAAAAAAGAAAAGAAAAGAAAAGAAAAAGAACAAGCCTCCTGAGGACCCACATGAACCCTGTGTCTCCTTTGGGAAGAGGTTAGGAAAGCCAGGTTACAAAGGACACAATCCTGCTAAGTGAATTGAGCCAGACAGAGCAAGAGAAGCATCACATGATCTCACTCATAGGTGGAGTTTGTGAACAACATAAACTGATGATCAGAGTGGATCCAGAGCCATGGAAGCATGGAGCAAGTGGGGAGTGTCTGAGGGAAGGCAGGGGAGGCTACGTGAGAGGGAGGTGACCATCAAGGACCATGTGAGGGGAGATGCAGGGCCCATGGCCACAGACAATGGGACGCTGGGGGCCTGGGGCCGGGGGTCAATAGGGGAAAATAGGGGACATATGTAATACTTTTCACCATAAAGGATTTTAACAACAAAAAAAGAAAGAAGTGAGACAGACTAGGCCACCAAAGCTGAAAGCCCAGGAAAGGCGGGTGGGGAGGGTGAGGGCCACAGCTATGTCACCTCCTCCTCACTTCATTACCGAACCACCGTGTGAGATGTTCAGAGGTTCCACCCATAATCAAGAGTATCTGACGAGGGGGCAAATTACACCACTTCCCCCCTCCGGGGCCCAGCAGGGCCTCACTCCAAATCCAATGCATGTACCATGCCAGGCCAGGGGTAATGGGTTGGCCAAGCTTGGCTTTTGATCGTGTCCAGTGTGACTATAAAACCACTCTACTTCTGCCAGGCCAAAGTGGTACATTGGTTGAGCATCGACCTATGAAGCAGGAGGTCACTGTTTAATTGCCAGTCAGGGCTAATGGCTGAGTTGTGGCCTTCATCCTCAGTGTGGGGCATGCAGGAGGCAGCCCATCAATGATTTTCTCTCATTACTGATGTTTCCATATCTCTTTCCTTCCTCTCTGAAAAATATTTTTTACAAAATCATATAAAATAAAGAGGCCATATGTAAATTGACTCTCACACCCTTGTACAACATGACTGCCCCTAGTGACCAAAGATGGCTGCCACAAGATGGCCAACAGGGAGGGCAGTTGGGGGCAACTGGAATGGCAGGGGAGGGCAGTTGAGTGCGTTTAGGCCAGCAGGGGTGCAGTTAGGCATTGATCAGGCTGTCAGGAGAGTGTTCAGGGGGTGATCAGGCTGGCGGGCAGGCAAGCAGTTGGCAGCCAGCAATCCAGGATTGTGAGAGAGATGTCAGACTGTCAGTTTAGGCCTAATCCTCAACCAGCAGTTGGACATCCCCAAGGGGTCGCACTTGGCTGAGGGACAACTCCATACCTCCCACCCCCCCTACCCCCCACCCCACAAACACACACATGAATCTCATGCACCAGGCCTCTAGTAAATACATAAAACCATGCCTCTTTCATTTCACTCTTCAGGCCTAAGGTCTGGGCTCCCTAAAGACAACTGTGGACCCTTCCACACTCATACCACCTGTTCCCAGCCCTCAGAGCACACCTGCTGGACCTCCTCTTGCACCGACCAGCCTGCAGGCAGCCTCCTTCCCATCCATGCCCACAGCTGGGGCCCACCAAGTCCCCAGTACCCCCTCTGCATCGTTAGGTCATAAGCAAGAATGAACTTCCACTGTCCTACAAATGTTTGCCCTCACCTCCCCCCCCCCTCAGTTTAGACATCGCACCCCCTGTTAGGGCAGAAGGCAGGGAGAGAATGCTGGTTCAGGTGGTGGCAGTTCACCTGCCCTCGGGCAGCCTCGGTGTCTGAGCTACCCCAGGAGGTCTCCACGGCCTGTCCCTGCCCTGGGAAAGCTATGGGGTCCTAGGGACAGTGCCAGGCGGGGCTGGAAATATGGGGACACAGGGTAAGTGATAGGACTGTCTAACAACTATGCTGTACACCTGATACAAATACAGAATAATATTGGATGTAAACTATAACTGAGAACAATTTTAAAATAAGATAAATTTAATTGGGAAAAATTAAAAAGCTAAGCTATCCTGGGGACCCCTCTGTCTTGTGAGGAAATGGCAGGAACACTCTCAGCATCTAGGTGCCCCCACTCCCATAAATAATAGCTGATGAAGACACACCTTTCTTCTAGAACATCCCAGTTGACGGAAGAAGCAGAGGAGGTGGCATTCAAAATCCCCTGAGTTACATCACGGACCCCAAACAGTGCTCAGTGGTGGCTTGAACACCCTTCATGAGCATCGGCCTTCACACCAAAGGGTCATGGGTTTGATTCCCAGCCAAGGACAATATGTTCCTTGGTTAGCTGGCCTAGGTCTGGGTGGGTTGGGGAGGCAACCAATTGATGTGTCTCTCTCAACTCTCTCTCTCTCTTTCTTCTCTTACTCCTTTACATTTTCTCTAAAGAAAATCAATGGAAGAATAGCCTCTGGTGAGGATTAACAAAAGCAAAGCAAACCTCCCTTCTGTGAAAAGCCCTGGGAGGAGCAGGGGAAGGAAGAGTTGGATAGTAAGGAAGGGGCAAGGGGGGGAGCTGGCCTCAGCCCAGCTCTGAGACCAGGCTTGTCCCCAATTGGGGTGCATCCTCTGTGGGATGTAGTGGGTTGCAATCAGGACCACCCAGGAAAGAGTCTGGCCCGATGTCTGGCTGAACCTAAAACTTACCGAGTCTCTAGGTCTAACACTTTACAGGAAATACAGAAGTTAGAGGAACCAGTAAAACTACAGTTCAGGGAAACAATTGGTCAAACCCAAAATGGGAGACGTTCTCTGGGTCAAGTGACCAGGTACCCCGGCACTCCCACAGCAGAGGGAAGAGAGAGAGCAAGTAACAGGGAAGGAGAGGGACCAAGCAACCCTTCAGGCCGAGTGCAGACAAACAGCAGTTTCTGAGCCAGTTAAAAGGGGTTAACGTGCCTTTGGCAGCAGTAGGGCTCAGAAGGGACCCTGTCAGGGTGACTTAATGGGGCAGGTGCTGGAGGAGAAGGGACCCCATGCATGGAAGCTGAGCATTGGAGTGTGACAGGTGAAATACCTACTGTCTTGTCAGCTAAGTGATCCGTGACTGAGCTCCAGGGTCCCGTGTTGCAGGACCTCCCTATTCAGCTTTGAAATGTGATTCAGCCTCAGAAAAGAGGGAAATTCCAACCCTTGCTACAACATGGATCATCTAAGAGTCATAATTGGCAAATTGTGGCTTGCACGCCACATGTGGCTCTTTGGCCCCTTGAGTGTGGCACTTCTACAAAATACAATGGCCTGGACAAGTCTATTTTTAAGAAATGGCATTAGAAGAAGTTTATGTTTAAAGATTTTTCTCTCAAAAGAAATTTCAATCGTTGTACTGTTGATATTTGGCTCTGTTGACTAATGAGTTTGCCGACCACTAGACAGTGTAGTAAGCCCGACACAGAAGCACAAATGCCGTAGGATTCCACACAGAAGACGTTCTTGCACTCATCAAACTCAGAGACAGAAGGTGCAATGGTGGTGGCCAGGGGCCAGGGGAAGGAGGAGTGAGTGTTTAGTAAGCACAGAGTTGCTCTTTGGAAGATGGAATGTTCTGGAGACGGACAGTGCTGAGGGCTGCAACAATGTCAATGCCCTCCATGCCACTGGCTGCACATTAAAGACGGTTAAATCGGTGGATTTTGTTCCGTCTGTCTGACCGCAATGGACATTGAGCCAATGATTTGGAAAGACTTCCCAATGCCCAAGAGATGTCCCTTTAACAGACCTCCAGGCACAGATGCCACACATGGGGACAGAACAATGTCCTGAGGCACCTACCCAGCTCAGCTGCCTGCTGCTCACGAGCCAGTACTCAAGGGACAGGGTGTGATGGAGCAAAGCAGGTTTATTAAGAGCCAGCAGCTTGAGAAGATGGAGGACCCTCAGCACAAAGTCATCTTTACTTCTTGTTTTTCAATCCTCAACCCTGAACATGGAGAGAGAGAGAGAGAGAGAGAGAGAGAGAGAGAGAGAGAGAGAGAGAGAGAGAGAGAGAGAGAGAGAGAGATCAGCCACCTCCCATATGCACCCTGACCTGGAATGGAAACTGCCAACTAGGGATGTTTCTGGCGTGGAAATCAGACCAGAACCTTAGGAGCACAGGACCAGGCTTCAAGCAGCTGAGCCTCTGGCCAGGGCACAAGGACCATCCTAACATGTGAGGGCAGCAGGGGTGTATGAGTGGGAAAAGGAAGGCAGAACCAGGGAAGCCCATGGTGCTGTGCGCCAGTCAGCACCGTCTGCTTCCGTAAACACCTGGCACCCAGTTCAGGAGGCTCTGGCTTTCCTCCAAGGTGATCAACTCCCCTGGAGCCAAAACACCTGCAGGCTGGGTCGGCTTCCTTTGCGGTTGGCTCCTGCAGTCCTGTAGGGCAGTGACTGTCAACCTTTTTCATCTCCCGGCACACACGAGCCCCTCAGCCTCTGCAGCACACCAAACATCCATATTGGGCCAATCTGACAAAAACCGACATAGTTTGATGCATGGGCAGCAGACAGCTATTGCTGTGATGGTGGCTGGCATTGTTTTACTGGACAATCAAAGGGAAAGGAGGTCAGTGCCCTTGGCTAAAGAGTCAGCATTGCATGTTTTAAGAATTCTTGCAGCCACACCAGTTGAAAATCATTGCTTGAAGCCAGCAGGCTCTTTATGCATAGCTACATTTGAATCAGGAAGTCATTCTTTCTTTTTAAAAATATTTTTTTATTGATTTCAGAGTGGGAGAGACAGAAACTTCAATGATGAGAGTGAATCATTGATCTGCTGCCTCCTACATGGAGCCTACAGGGGATCTAGCCCACAATACTGGCCTGTGCCCTGACTGAGAATAAAACAGTGACTGCTGGCTCATGGGTTGAAGCCACAGGACCTAGTTGTAATCATGTTGGTTTGGTAATGAAGTGGGGTTGCTTGGTTGCCATGGCCCCAGCACAGACTCAACACTTGGAGTTCTCTTGGAAGCATCTGC